TTCAATTTGTCACAACCAAGAAAATTCTATGCTTTGTAAACATTAACAATGACAAAATTGTAACCAAAACTTGAAAACAATGCATGATGTTTATTCAATGACAACAAAATTTCATTAAACACTCTATACAAACACTTCAAATGGTCAACAAAAGATTGGAAACCCTAAAAATCCCGGTTTAAGTCCAATATGGACTAGGATTTTCTTATTCGGCCTAATGGACCAATAAGTTTCCAATTTGACTAGTTTGGACTTAGAACCCGTAATTGGGCTCTAATTCAACCCACCTTCATGAGATTTAACATTTTGGGCCATATTGGGCCTAAAAAGGAATAAATTACTCTAATGAGCCTTATTGGGCCATAATTGATTTAATTAGCTTTAATGGGCCCACAAAACCCATTCTTTTATGCTAATTGGGCCGTGAACTACCCTAAGGGCCCAATGGGCCGAAAACCTCCTCTATGTGCCTCATGATTTCGAACCAAGGCTAGAGGTGGGCCAAATTAATCCATGTTTCTCTTATTAAGCCCAACTCGGCCCAACATCAATTAACAAAAAAAGGGAAAAGAATTGTGATAAGAGTGGACTTAGGAGGTGCCACCTCCATATTGTCCATCATGTATCCATGCAAGACTTACACTTCCCCATGCACCTATCAACTCACACGTCTCTCTTCTTCCCTATCTTCTTATTGTCTTCGCCCGAGAGCATCAACACACCCACACACATAATTCATTTTCAAACACTTCCAAATTCTCTCAAGAACACCTTCATTTATCCCTCAAAATTTCGAGAATTACAAGCATTCCAAGAAGGTTCTTCACTCATATCACAAATCTTTGGTAAGTTGTTGCTTAGATCCATGACTTAGCTTCTTGATTTCATCAAAAATACCTTCCTAACTCATGCAAAAATTCGTGATCTACTCCTTAGAATCCATCTAAGCCAAAGTCCTCTCAAGAAGTTTGCTAGGGCCGAGAATCTCATCAACTTCTTCCATTTCTTCTTCAAAACCGTAAGCAACTAAGCAAGGTGAGTTCATACCCCCTTCTTTTTGGTTTTTACTTGTTTTTGGGGGGAGAATACAAGTGCTATGTGTTGATCTATGTGTGTATGCTTGTTATATGTGATTTCTTTGGTTTGTGTTGTGAAAATATGATATTATTTGCTATATCTCGAAATCTATGGCTAAAGTGTGAAGGATACATAAACAAATAACATAATAAACAACATAATTCAAAGATCTAAGAGTCTTTAGGCCTAAGAAGTGAAAACAAAGCCAAAAATCTTTATAAGTGTCATTTTTGCAAAAATAACAAAGATTTGAGTAAAATATGATATTTTCGGTTTTATAAGGATAAAATAGTATTATTTACATAAAATCCGACTTTTATGAAAATAACACTTTTCTAGGGGTCAAAAACATAAATTATAGCTTATTGGGCTTACATTTGGGCCTCATGGGTTTTTGGGCCCAAAATTGCGAAAAATGAAGAGTTTTGGGGGCTGAAGTGGTAAATTTATCAAAATACGAGTCTAAAACGTGAATACACTATTTTAGGGGATGGAAATGACTTTGATGCCAAAAATTTGATTAAAATGCAAAGTTTTTGATTTTGGGGCCAAAATTGTAAAACTTACGGAATTTGAGCCAAAAAGTGTAAACTTTTTACAAATAAGGGCTGGAAATGGCAAATACAATAGTTTTGGGCTAAAATTATTATTTAAATAAAGTTTGGGTCTAAAATGTCAAGAAAAATGGTCTAAGGACCAAAAATGTCAATTTTCATAAAAAGAGACTAAAAATGCCATTTTTATAGATAAAGGGGCTGCAATGGTCAAACTAAATGTTTTTGGGCTGAATAGGCAAATATTAAATTATTGGGTTAAAAATATTAAGTTTATAACGCATGGTTTTTAAAAATGTTATATATATATATATATATATATATATATATATATATATATATATATATATATATATATATATATATATATATATATATATAGCCAAAGCTTCGTTATAAATCAAACGTCAAAGTATTTTTAACATTTCGAATAAACATTTAGCATACAACAAAGACCTACACTACGAACCAAAAATCGACAAATTATAAATGATTCAATGATTGGGCCAAAAATCTTCTGTTCGTGCTATTGGGTCTTTGTGGCCCAATATCATGATTATTGGGCCCAATATATTCACACATGTTTATTGGGCTTCCGGTGACCCATTTGCATACCCAATGGGCCTTTATCAGCTTTAACATGCTATTGGGCCTTAGTGGTCCATTTGTATTGCTAATAAGACCCTAAACATTCATAATATGCTTAATGGGCTATAACGTGTCCGTAGCATACTCGACAGTCTATAATAACATACATAATTAGTGGACCACTGTTGTCCTCTTTTATGTCTGTTAGGTTTACTTCATATTCACGTAAACATCATTTGGGTTGTAAAACAAGGTTATTCAATTTTATTGGGATTTAGTGAGAAATAACGGGCGGCATCAATAAATGTCGGCCGTAGCCTGCAGTTATAATCAGAGTCTTCTGGAGGGAGAGCGAGAGTTTGTGTATAGATCTAAACGGGGGTGACTCCCCCACACCGAAGCTGTTCGCTACAGTTAAACTCGACCAGTCTAGGGTGACAAAATCTTAATTCAAAACCGGCATTAGATAAAATGTCAAGACAGGCGAATTAGTCATTATTATGCATGGTTATAACGACTCACATAGAGATCCATTACCATCTAAGTAATCATGGGAAATCATATTCATACGCTGTGACGATGCAAAGTGATTATACAATAATACAAAACTATCATACTATTTATAACGGAAAACATCGGGTTTCCGGGGAACAACATTATTCACTTCTACTTACAACAACTATAGTACAAGGAACTATTATGAAAGACATTTCACTTTTACATGTTTTAAAATCATATACATGTATACTTATGGATCATCACACCTTTTTCGTAAACAGTTTTTGTTACAGAAAATATCAAATTTTCTGGGTTTTACAAACAATACAAAACATTTTCACATCAAACCTGCTTATGAACTCACCAACATTATATATGTTGACCGTTTTCAAAATAACTTGTGTTCTCAGGTAACCGTTAAAATGAAGAATTATCAAGCGTGTTTCTGAAACGTCTTTTGTGTGATGTCAATCGATAAACAATTTATGTTTTGGATTATGTAATGTAAACAATGTACTTGATGTGAACAATGACGGTTGTAATGTATTAATGCATGGTGATGCTTATGTTATGTTTCATATATATTCATTGTGATGATATTTCAATTTAAGTCACACGAGCCATCGGAAGTTTCCGCCGTCTGGTTCGGGGGTGTGACACAATTTACCGAGGGAACAAATCCGCATTGAAACTAGCTCAAAAGGACCACGAAGCCAAAAAAGTCGTTGTTTTGACTAAAACCCCAAAAAAATGCATACCACATGGACAATTTTTACAATTTTGTCTTTTTTAATTATGTGCAACTTCTTGAGATATGAATGCCACTATTCTTGTGAAAACTTTTTTTTTCGGGAAATTGTCAGAAAAGTCCCAATATTTTCATAAAAGTTACACTTTAGTCCCAAATTTTTTTTTTGAACATAAAAGTCTTGATTATTTTATTTTGGCTCAAGTTTACAAAAAAATCATTTTTTTTTCTTTTAACAGGATATGACATATTATCGTGTTTCTACAAATAATCGGGACTTTTATGTTAAAAAAAAATCTTGGGACTAAAGTTTAACTTTCCTGAAAATATTGAGACTTTTCTAACAATTTTATTTTTTTTAATAAACATTTTTCAGAAAATTAAGTTAAAACTTTATTTTCAGCTTTTAATGAAAAATTTAGAAAACAGCTTTGGATGAAATCTTAGATTTTTCATTTTCCATTTTATAAATTAAGAAAAGTTTTGCAAACTGTTAAAATCACTTTCGTAACTAAATACAATTTGGAAAACATTTTTTTAAAATTTTTTTTGAAAACTAAATTAACCAAACACATTTTAATTTTTTTTTTAATATAAAACTGAAATTTTTTCCAGAACCAAACCTACCTTTATTTTTTTTAGAAAATTTGAAGTCTGAGTCGTTAATTCGTTATTGTATGTAAAACTGAAAATAGGTTTATAGAAATGGAGATTAAATAAAGGGTTTTTCCAAAATAGACCCTAAATTTACAGTTTTTTTCTATTTAAACCAAAAGTTTTACTTTTTTCCTAAAAAGACCATATTTTTTGAGGATCTTTGTTATTTAGAAGGGATAACCGGTTGACTAAGTCAATAGCCAGTATCAATGTATGAAGTACGAACGTATCCCATTCCCTCAATTATACCTCCGTTTCTTTTCTTCTACACTTGTCACTAGGTTTCATTCGTTGCTCTTCAATATACACAAGTCGATATGCAAAACCAGGGCTTTTTTCTAAAATCGCTCAAGAAGAAAGCCATGGCATCCAACAACGATGCCAAGAAGAAAACTAAGAAACACAAAAAAATACGTTGATTATGAAGATCCCGAAGATGAAACTCTCGTGTCAGACATGCCCATGGACTATTAGAGGGAAAAGGTAATAGCTGTTTCATTCCAATCTGTTAAAGATCCTTTTCTTACCAAACTTTTTGAAGATGAATCTGAGTTTTTTGGCGAAAAAGATAAATATGTAGATGATTTAGTTCATCTACAAGATGATGAGAATGACATTGGTGGTTCCAATTTTGTCCATGATCCCACCATAGAGTGGAATCTCATGGAACCAAAGGTTGGAGAGAAATATCAAAATTTTTCTTGATTGAAAAATTGTCTTATTAACTATGCTGTGGCCCATGGGTACCCCCTAAGGTTTGAGAAACTTGAAAGTACTAGGTTAGTAGCTAGATGTGGTAGAGATACATACAAAAAAAATGTGATTTTCGTTTGTATGCATCATGGATGAACACAGAAAGAACAGTCCAAGTAAAGTCAATGAAAAAGAAGCACTCATGTTCAAGAAAGTTTACTTTTGGACACCTTGTATCCCCTCAGTGGATTGCTTCTCATCTTGTGAAGGAGATTGTTTTCAACCCATCTATTAAACTTAAAGAATTGAGGGAACTCATTAGGACAAAATTCAAGATCACCCTATCTATCAGTAAATGTAACAGGGCTAAACATAAGGCAATGGTGATGATTGAAGGGAATGCTAGTGATCATTATGCTAGAATTTGGGACTATGCTGCAGAAATACAAAGATCCAACCCTGGTAGTACTGTGCAAGTGGGTGTAAACCTTAATCCTGATGGAAAATATTACTTCCATAGATTCTATGTATGCTTTCATGCATTGAAAACAGGATGGATTGTTGGATGTAGAAGAGTGATAGGATTAGATGGGTGCTTTTTGAAAGCGCAAGTAAAGGGTCAACAAGTTGGTGATGCTTGGTGAATCAAGAAGAATATGACATTTTTGAAAGGGCACAATTCAACTCCACCGTTCCTTACTATCATTCTACTTCTGATGCTCCTGATGCTTGAAGAAGATGACATTTTCGAGAACTAACAAGTTGGTGAATCAAGCAAAGAATGATCAATTCATGTTTATATTTCATATATAAATTCAGTTTTATAAACCTGAATTAACATCAATAAACATCAATTCAATTTCTTAGTCCCTTAAGTAAAATAGTCGCTTAATCAATTCAGTAAATAGTCTCCTGTTGAACAAAGCGTGAGATCGAGCTGAACTACTGGGGAAACAAGTCAACTTTACGATTGGATGTTTATGAGATTGATATGGTGAGAAAAGTGACACGCTTGTTGATTGATTACTCCGCAGGGGTTTGTATTTACACAAAGAAGATTTTGGGGTTTACAAAGCGAAGCAAGATTTAGTGTTAGGTGGATGGAAGAAACAAACTCAGAAGTTTTTTGTACTAAGAGGGGAATTCGAAAATTGAACCTGAGAATTGGAGAAGAAAAGCCCTAATTTTGCATAGCCTTCTTGTTGACTAAAGCGTGAGATCGAGCTGAACAAAGCGTGAGATCGAGAAAAGAACTTACTTCAGTGATTCCTGGATTCCATAGCCTTCTTGTGCGATTTCTGGAACTGAGAATTGGAGAAGAAAAGCCCTAATTTCACATATGTACTTGGGTATCTTGAAGCGCAGCTAGACAATAGAGGAAGAACGATCAGTGTAGAAGAAAAGAAACGCAGGTATAATGGAGGGAATGGGATACGTTCGTACTTCATACCTTGATACCGGCTATTGACTTAGTCAACCGGTTATCCCTTCTAAATAACAAAGATCCTCAAAAAAATGTGGTCTTTTAGGAAAAAAGTAAAACTTTTGGTTTAAATAGAAAAAAACTGTAAATTTAGGGTCTATTTTGGAAAAAAAACCCTTAAATAAATGTTTCAAGATATTTTATGAGGGTGTTTAAAAAATACACAACGTTACTCCTAAAAATTTGGTTTTGGTGTTCTAGAACAAGTGGAACGTATGGTATTCAAGTATTCCACGAACTAAACAGTGAAGTTTTCACTGAAATCAATCATAAAATATGGACACTTTTTGACATCCCAGCCATGGAAGATGACCTTTTTAGTTTGGTTCTCTACATTATTTTGGCAATAAACCAGTCAGGCTCAGGCACTCATATACGCCAAACGCCCATGCCTACATGACTTTTCAAATCTCAAAGAAATACCAAAATTGACGTTTATGGCAGATTCCAGATGATAGCTGACAGCGCAGGTTTGAGTTGTATGTAGGGGCCCTTCTCTCATCATCAATCACCTCTCTTTGTAATTATCTTTGGTACCCACACACCGCTAGACCCCCTTCCGGAACATTAATTCCGACCTAATTTTAGGGTTTTATTCATTCACACACTGATTAAGGATTTTCTTTTCAATTGAGCTTCCTGCTGCGGGAAGATCACGTATAGATTCAAGGTTCTTTATCCTTCCTACTTGCTGAATTCTTCATCAACAATTGATTTTTGAATCAGTATTTGATTGGATTGTCGGGTTCGCATTTCATAATCAGGTGGTAAAACCCTAATAATGTTATAACCACCGTCATCTCGGAAAATTGGGCGTTTTTGCTGTTGAACTTATTCAACGTTAACGTGATCATCTTTCGTGGCTAGTTTTTGATTGTAAACAATGGAAGATGAAGTAGCCAGAGACTCTACATGGACTCGAGAGCAGGACAGGGCTTTCGAGAATGCTCTGGTTGCATATCCCGACGAGGATTCCGATGATCGGTGGGAAAAAATTGCCACCGATGTTCCCGGAAAGACAGTGGAAGAGATTAAGCATCACTATGAGCTATTAGTTGAGGATTTAGACCGTATTGAATCTGGTATTGTTCCTCTACCTTGCTATAGTTCCTCTTCAGAGGACTCTGCAAACCATGGAGGTGATGATGGAAACAGTAAGAAAGGTGGTAACAGTGAATCCGTTCATGGAGTTAAGTCCTCAAAGTCAGATCAGGAGCGCCGGAAAGGTGTTGCATGGTCAGAAGATGAACACAGGTTAGTTTTTTAATCTAAAACCTCTGTTTTGTGAGAATCTGTTATTGATCTCATTTTATGGTAAAAAAAAAAAACAGATTATTTCTTCTTGGGTTGGAGAAATATGGGAAAGGAGATTGGAGAAGTATATCCAGGAACTTTGTGGTGACAAGAACTCCTACTCAAGTTGCAAGCCATGCACAGAAGTATTTCATTCGTTTGAATTCAATGAATAGAGAAAGGAGGCGAACAAGCATTCATGACATAACTAGTGTCAACAATGGTGATGGAGCTGCAATCACTGGTCAAACAAATGGTTCTCCGGCAGGTAAGTCAAGCAACCACTCCCCTCTGGTGACCGGAGATCCTTCTTCCTCCATGGTTAGTGGATTACCTCTAGTTTTGGCAGTAGGCACACCTGTAAATCTTTCACCAGTGTCACACATGACATACCCCATGTTGAACAAATCATCCCGTAGGTGAAGTTGCAAGTTGGAAACCTGTAGAAAGAAGGTTAGAAAGACACTATAGGTTCATTGATTTCTTTAAACAATGGCCTTGCTGATTAGACACATATATGAACTGATTATGCCTGTTATGCTCTATGTTAGAATGGCCTAAATGTGTACTTTCTTGCAGGATAACGATGCAAACTATTGTTACTATGTGATAAATCACAGAGACCAACATGTTCTAAGTTGGTGGTACTATGGCAGGTTTAAGGAGCTTGGTGTTATGCTCGATTGAAAAATCAATTCATTCATTCACATTTGAAGTTGGACTCCATGAACGGGTGCACCAACGGATTTGGAAACCCATGTTATCGATGTTGGAAAAACATTATTTTTCTTCTTTAGGAAAATATGATTTTTCAACGACTTTAGAGACGTATAAATATGTATATTTTGTGGTCCGGTTATATGATATTTAATGGGGTTGCATACTTGCATTCTTCGTATATAGTGCTTCGTAAAGATGTATTGTATGTTTAAGTTTAAGTTAATGTATATATGATATCGACTCTCAAAAATCAAAGTGGGATCTTTGGAATAAAAGATGGAATTTGGCAAAGGGGATACAAGTTGTCCTTCATAGGTGGGAAAGGGTAAACCTTAATTAGGTTTTATAAAACAATGGATTCCTTACCATTTAGTTGAATGACGAGAGTTGAAGTAGGGTTCCACGTACTAGTGTGCACTTGGACTTGAATCGTGAGTTCTGCGAGTGGTGCTCATAGAGGCATTTTGCACTTGTTGGATATACACATCAATTTCTTGTACACGAGTCAAGTTCAAGTTCTACACATGCATAATTATGTGATAATGGAGAATGAATTCATCATTATTTGAAAATGAGTTTCTTGCTTAACCGGTGAGTATGGAAGCTTATATGAGAAAGCAGATGATGAGACTAAGGCATCGTTTGTTTTTCTACAAAAGTACTTTTTGAGCACTTTTCTCTTCTGGCGGGTAGATGTTTCTCAAGTGCACGTCTTCTTCCGCAAACATGAAAAAAAACAAAAGACATATGACCACTTCCAAAACAAACAACACCTAAGAAAAAAAAAAAAAAAAGGCAATAGTTGATAAATTGTTTGGTTCTGATGCTGTTACCTATATGGTGGAAAATTGATCCAAATTATACTTTGCGGAGGTTGCTTCTTCAAAAGGATATCAATGGAAAGAAGATACTACCAAGATTGAAATTCACTATTTTGAAAAACCACACTTAGAAGTTAGTGGATCTTATTTCGGGAAGTAAACCACTAGGTTATCGTTGGATCTTCAACAAGAAGGTAAATGACCATATCAATAAATATTAACCAAAATTAGTTTTTAATGGTTACAAGGAGAAAATGATCTTTTTAAATAGACATTTAGAAAAGAATATGCATGGAACTATTGGAAATTTCAGAAGAAGAATATGCATGGAACTATTGGAAATTTCACTGCCACATGACAAGAGCAGAGAGCATGTAAACTTGTTAAGTCATTGATAGACTTAAAGCAATTAAATGGACTTTGGTTTACCTATCTCAATGTGTGTTGAAAATATGTCCCTCCCTGAGTGGTTCAGGGTTCAAGTCTTGTTGTAGAAAATTGTGTAAATTTAGGAGAGAGAGAGAGAGAGAGTGTGTGTGTGTGTGTGTGTGTTTTCCGTTCTTAAAAAAACATAAACAAACTCCAAAACAATGACATCAAAAGTTTGACCATACCATGATTGAATGTGGTCACATAATCAACGAATGTGACAAGTGTTTGTAAAAGACACAACTAATGCCTTTTTCATAGTATCTTCATATTTAGATGTCATTTTTTCTTGGAAAATGAACTTCCCTAACGAAGGTTTCCGGGTCAGTTTTCGCGCATCGACTAATCCCCCACTGCAAATATGAGGTTATGTCTCATGCCCTGGAGTCACTGCAGACGAACCTCCATGGCCATAGGGGCTGAGTACTGTCAAGATTTGAACATTGGTCAATAGGTTATCCACAATATCTTCCACATGTCTTACCACATCACCACAATCCAAGTGGTCATTGAAAGCAGTGAAAAGTGATAAAAATGAGATTTGACATGAAATATACGGGTCTTATAAGAGTTTTTGAATTAATCTTCAATAATCAGGAGAGATATGTATTGCAATATTTATTATCATACAAGATTACAATGGAAATTTAAAAGTACAACAAGAATCATATAATAGTGGATCTATACAATCTTGTGAGATTGTGATATATCGTTAATACCCCCTTCGAGCGAGGAAGTGGGGAACCAACACAGAGCTTGGATTGAAAATACTCAAACATCAGACGCGAGAGACTCTTGGTGAATACATCACCAACCTGTTGAGTTGTAGGGATAAACCGAGTGGATAGGCATCCTGAAGCAACCAATTTATGAACAAAATGACAGTCTATGTTGATGTGTTTAACATGCTTATGAGAGACATGATTTTGACTTAAGAAGATGACACTTTTATTATCACAATACAAGCATGGTGTATGGAAATAGGGATATGTAGTCCACGCAACAGGTTTGTAACCAAAACTACTTCAGCTGCAGTATTTTTCATCGCTCTATATTCAGACTCGCAAGATTCGACATATCCACTATTATAGGATTCTTGTTGTACTTTTAAATTTCCATTGTAACCTTTTATGGTTATAAATATTGCAATACACATCTCTCCTGATCATTGGAGATTAGTTCAAAAACTCTTATATGGTATCAGCCTCCTCTCAATCCTTTCTCTAAACTAATAGTCGACCCTATTTTTTTCTTTTTCACCATGACTACTGGAAGTTCATCCAACGATGTTTCTCTTTCTCTCAACACCATTCTCCATATGTTAACCATCAAACTTTCTTTAACCAACTATTTTCCGTGGAAGAATCAGATCATGCCTCTACTCAAAAACCAGATTTTGTTTTCTCATCTTACCGGTTCCTCTTCTCCCCCTCCTGCAACTATCATGATTGCAGATAAGTCTTCTCCCAATCTCACTTTCACTACTTGGCAAGAAGCAGATCAGCGGGCAATCCTCATTCTTCAGTCCTCACTCATTGAAGAATCTATGGCAGAAGTTCTTGGCCTATCTATTGCATATGAAGTCTGGTGTACACTTGAGTCCACATACAATCATGATTCTATTGAATGTATGCAAAATCTGTGTGATTCTCTTCGTCAGTTGCAAAAAGGTTCGTCTTCTGTTTTTGAATTTGGTCATAAGTTTAAGTCTCTATGTGATCAACTTGCAACTATTGGCAAACCCGTAGAAGATGATGGCAAAAGCCACTGGTTTTTATGTGGCCTTGGCTATTCTTTTGAGACCTTTTCCACAGCTTACAAGGCTATCAAACCAAGCCCCCCTTTTGTGATCTTCTCTCTCTAGCCGAAGGTCACAAACACTTTCTCAAAAATGTTCACGGATGCTAACTTAGCACATGCCCTGATCTCTTTATTTTTGCAAACCGGGGACTAGCTGTTGATGCTAACTTAGCACATGCTTTTCATACAAAATGCAATACCACGGACAACTCATCTTATTGGTATGTCGACTCAGGATCTTTTACTCACATGACAAACTCGGCTACAAATATTTCTTCCTATGTACCATACACTGGAAACGAACATGTGTCATTTGGCAATGGTAATATCTTAAACATCTCTCGTATTGGTAATGCATCTCTTACTATAAATATTGATTTGGCCAAGGTTCTTGTGGTTCCTAGATGTACAAATAATCTCATTTCCATTAGTAAATTGACATCTGATTCACTCATTGATTTTTTGTTTTCTGACCAATTCTATACTATTCAGAATCGATACACCATGGAAATACTAGCAAATGGAAGATGTGAAAGTGGGCTCTAGGTGTTAGAACAAGGCCATAAAGCTTTAGTGGCTCACCTTAATTCCAACAGGCTTCGTTTATCCTATGAAGTTTGGCACCAATCTCTAGGACATGTTTCCTTTTCTACTATTTCATTGTTAAGCAAACTTGGTCGTTTATTTGTTACATCTATTTTACCTAAACCTGGTACTTGCTCATCTTGTGAGATTGTGATATATCGTTAATAGGTCTAACCGATATGATTTTGGGGTTAAGATCACTCAGCCTAATAAGGACTTTTGTTGAGTAAATCCACTTGAGAAATTGAATGTAGGTGATTCAACATACAAGATTTTCATTTTATAGGTGCTCCCCATATCGAAAACTAAAGAATAATCGATAATATGATGTATTTGATGAGTTGTATGAGAAACAATTTAGCATACACGGTTAGCATACTAAACATGTATACTAGTAATCTAAGTGTTAGACATTTGAAAAGTATTACCATGCTATGGTACTTAAGGTACACTCATGGATATAGATCACTTAATAATGATATATATTTAATTATTATCAACGAATATAGTGATACAAATTGAATATAATGATATTAAATATCCTAAATCCATAAGTGGGTAAATTACTGGAACACTTCTCTTGCATTAAAGTTTCCAACTTACATGTAGATTTTGCAAACATCTTCCATTATGGAAACATTTCCATATTCCCATATGACCATCAATTCTAACCAAGAATCATCTCAATCCAAAACGTGTCACTATGGTCCTTTCCAAATAATTTCATACTTCTAACTCTCCACAAGCAACCAATCTTCGGTAAAACCTCATAATGTTCTTGACAGTTTGTTTAATAACTCTAGTCACATGAAATTCTCATCCTTTTCACACAATGTTAAAAGCATTTGAAAAATAGAATAATCGAATATTATAGCATATGCAATCGATCCTATATCCGAAGCATATAAGAATCGACTCATTATTGCAAGGGTCTAATATCTGTTCAATTTCTTCCTATAATATCTCCATATATAGAATCTTCAATGTTGAAACATTTCAATATATTATTCATATATGTCTTTGACTGAGTTTTATTAAACTATACAATCTAAACCTTTAGATTCAAAACGAAGTATGAGTGACCTCTTGTTGACTTTCACAAGATGAAAACTTGGAACTACCACTTAAGAAAACACGACTGAAAAAGATACATAAAGTACTAGAATGAAAAGTTGCATTTCACTACTCACTTAACAACTGGAAAGTACAGGACTTTTATATGAAAGTAAACCAGAAAAATAGGAACTAACTTCTACTGATTCTACCCGCTTTATTCAATGTCAATAAGCATAAAATTAGGACACTACTAACAACTTGAAACATGCAAATTCTTTATAACGGTCACAAGTTGATGATGTGGCATTGCTTAGTCAACTAACTCCCTCTCAATGCCACAATTCTTCATTCCAACATGTGAGATAAACTTCAATACCCATGGTTTTGGCAACCCCTTTGTAAGCATATCTGCCACTTGATTATCCATATCAACATGTACCAGATTAATTCCACCCATTAAAACTTTCTCTCGAATGTAATGATAGTGGATTTCAATATGTTTCGAACGAGCATGGAATGCTGGGTTACCTGCTAATTGGATTACTGTCATATTTTCACATCTTAGCACCACATGATCTCCAAAATTATGTCTCATAT